AAATAATATAATTAAAAGAAGTGTTACTTTAATTGTTTTAACACAAGGAATGGGATCCTCTTTCCATGTCTTATACATCGGATCAAACTCTCGATACCCTCTGTGACCGTGTTTTTCAAGGAATTCTTTGAATTTAAGAGACGACTCATCGGTTCCCTTATATAACACTTGTAGCGCCTCCTCGTCTGACAATTGTCTGAATGTTTGCTTATCTTTGATAGACTTCGCGATATCTCTCAAACTGTTGGGCACTTCAGCGCTGATCACATCATTACACGAAGAAACCATTTCAGTGAAGTCCGACTCTATGTTTGGATTATTCGCTATAATTGTGAGGAATTTGTCAAAATTAATTTAAATTAATAATTTTGAATACAATTAATATTAGTTATAATGAGTTATAAGCATAATTTAATATGAATTTCACGCGACACTCACTTTCGGCACTTTCGAGGATAGCTTTTAAAATAGTATTTTTCATGGATGAGCCTAAAGATACCGGTCCGTGATATTTGGATGAATTGGATATCTCATAGTATTTGTCAAAAATTCCTCTCCAAATGTCTTTTGCTGTGGAATATTGTCTCAAATGTTTGACCAAATCGTAGGGATTTGTATCCATTAATTGAGTCTTAAGTTGAATCAAATTCTTTGGACCAAATATAAGTGAATCCAAAACAAAATAAATGGTTTTTATTTTCCCAACGAGTGATGAGCTCTTTTGCTCCAAACGTTTTTGTTTAAACATATTGAGCACATCCTTGTCGTCGATGTGATGACCAAACATGGATAATACAATTTCTTGCGATTGTTTAGTTTCAGGGTAATCGTTAAACAGGTCCCACCCTCCCTATGATAATACACATATAATATATTTAGATAATTGCCTAATAAAAATCTAATTCAATAGTAATTAGTTAATTCAAGACACTAACACCAGACAAATTAAACATGAGTTGATTGTATTCAATGCCCATTAATTCGATATATGGGTTATAATCCTCTTCAACCGATAGTCCATTTTGTATGTTTTGACGCTATGTTTAGATATCATTTTATTAAATATATTTCAGTTTCTATAATATTGAATTCAGTTTAAAATATACCAAAAATCCATTTTTGTTGGCAAACATCCACTGTAAGACAATCCAAGAAGAGGCTCCGGGAAAGTTTTCACCCCAATGGGTACGGGTGTTGATCTCAAACTCTGTCGGATGAGATGAATCCAATTCATGCATAATCTCGTAGTCGGTGTAAGAGTTGTCTAAATTAGTTACGGGTCTCGACTGAAGCATAAATATTTGGCCCCCGAATAGACCCCACTCTATATCTCTCGCATTTCCGTAGTGTTTGTGAATCTCAAGTCCAATATCACCCAAACGTAACAAATCCCGATCACTGACACAACAATTACTTCTGTCGATAACCTCCTCCTCAACAGTCCCTCCATT